CCTCACGCCCGTTCCTGGAGCATCGCGGGCTGGTACGCAGCGTGCGGGAACCTCCGCTGATGTCGGTACGAGCGGTGTGGTCTGCTCGCAGTTTCCCCGAGGCAGCGGTGCCCGCTCGCAGTTCCCCCGAGGCGGCGGTGCCCGCTCTCAGTTTCCCCGAGGCAGCGGTGTCCGCTCACAAAGCTCCGGAAGCGGCGGTGTCCGCTCTCAGTTCCCCCCGAGGCGGCGGTGTCTGCTCTCAGTTCCCCTGAGGCGGCGGTGCCCGCTTGCAGTTTCCCCGAGGCAGCGGTGTCCGCTCACAAAGCTCCGGAAGCGGCAGTGGCCGCTCTCAGTTCCCCTGAGGCGGTGGAACTCGCCTCCGTTTTCTTCAAGGCGGCAGCTCCACACACACCGCTGTGGTGGCCGCTGGTTCTGCTCTGGGTGCCCATCCCACCGGCTCTGCCCCAGTCCCCAGGTCCCCCGCTACCACACGGACCTGGGCCCCCCATCCCTCCCCCTACTCCATCCCCGCTCTGCCGTTCCCCGGGTTGGGTGCTCGGGAACGTCTGGAAGCAGTTCCTTAGAGGAGGGGTCCTGTCAGGGGTCTGGGTCTGGTGTTCTCCCTCTCACCACCAGAGGTCGCCACTTCCCATCCTCCCGGACTCCGTTACCTTGATGCCACACACCTGTGCACACACTCACACACACACAGCTGTTGCCCATCCTGAGGGCTATTTATACGCCTTCCCCACGCCTCTCTGGGCGGATTATTAATTGTTGGTACATGGACTAATGCAAGCCAGAAGTGGCCGTATTGTGTCAGATTCCGTTTCTGTTCTGAGCCTGCGTGTCAGAGTCTTAGCTCTGTTTGTGTTTTCTGTTTTGATTTTTACTTTGTTTTCCCCTGCAGTCAAATAAACCTGCATTTGGACCCAGACCCCTGTTTACACGGTGTGTTCCTTTACTGCGCCATGACAGAATTAGCATTTTCATTTAGCCTGTTGCTGGTTTCTGCAGACCAGCATGGAAATCTACCAACTGGCTCATCCTTTCTTTCTTACTTTCTTTAAAAAAAAAAACAATGGTTAAAAAGGATGAAATTTTATTTTATTGAAAGATTATTGTTTTGGTGATGTTACCATAGACTATTAATCAGTTTATCTCCCTCATCACATGCAGTTATGAAACTTTTTTTTACTCGATATACGTTTCAATAAATCAAGCTGTTTTTGGACTAGACTAACAGTGTTATCTATTTCATCACATCTGTTAAAGTAACAGTTTCCATTTCCAGTCCTGTATACACCACATGTTTATGTGATATACAAATATAGATAAGGTTTTGTGAACTGTATGCACAGAGTGTATGCTATAAACTCTGTGTGATGAGTGGGGAGGGGGCCAAGAGCCGCGGGAATGGAGTGAGGCCGGTGATAATGATCATCACCTGTGCGCCACACCGGTCTCGATTCCCATGGAGGAGCTCCGGAAGGATAAAAGGAGGAGTGACTACATTGAAGGACGAGAGAGGACCAGGCCTGGACTACTTATGTTGTTGTTTTATTATGTCTTATGTGGCAGTCGTCCGTGAGGGGCTGCTGCTTTTACTTTCGTTTTGTGTTTGTTTATATGATTATTAAAGTTTTATGTTTAAAATTAAATATTTGCTGGTTCACGCCTTCTTCCCTGAGCTTTTAACTTTGTTACACTCTGTATTAAATACAGCATCATTTATGTTCAATGCTGCTGCATAGGAATCTCTACAGTGATCAATACATCCAAAATACACCCATCCTCTTTCACATCAGCATTGATGAAAATAATTCTGAGAGTGTTGAGACTTACATTTAGCATAGAGGCAGTCCATCATTGACTGGACAACATCTAATTTGGCCTTAATAGAAAAGTTGATAAAGTTGGTATCAACAAGGATGTAATATGGAGGTCCAAGCTGGGTGTTGTATTGAAAGAACATACAAGATGGGTATTTTGCTCTGAAAGAAAGATAACGCACAAAATTATTATATACAATGAATGCAAACACAAATATTTAAAAGTATTACTATAATTATCACTACAGGAATTAAATAGAAGTTTAAGAGAACAGAAGTTTGAGCAATGAAATTTAAAATTCACTTTCTATGATGACATGTTTGTGGTGTTCAACTAGGCCTGACAGTTACAAATTGGATTTTTGATATTCTGATGCCTAAAACTTATAACGTGATCATCTACCTAAGAAGACTTGATAATACCACTGGTACAGATTGTACAGTTGTACATATTACTGTTTGTTCTTTTGGTGCAAGAAACTTATGGACCCCATTGAATTTCATCGTATGGACAAAAACAGCCAATTAATTCAAATTAGGGGTTCTATGGATCATAGTTGTTCTGTTATCCATCTGGATCTATTTCGATAGATTTTTGTCCTTCACTCTCTAAACTCTGCAGTGTGTACATAGCAGCATAAAAAATAAAACTTTTATTCAAATTATGAATGGGTTACATAGAGAATCCAAGCAAAGAGTGCTCTCTTTATAATCAATGAATCTAATATCACTTCAGTTCACCCGCAGCCCAAGCTTCCAGAACCTGACTGTTTTGCTCTATAGAGTGTCCCCCGTTTTCAGTGGCACTTGTTTCTGAAGAATTTTTTCTATTGGGATTTTAAAAAGGTCTTTGTTAAAGCTCTATAATAAGCCATGAACCAAGCCAAACAGCTACATGGTGAATGAAAACATTACAAAATTTTATTTGAAGCAAAAAAGTATATGAAATCTGACAAAAAGACATGTACAAGAATGTATATATAACGGTTTTGGTGAACGAAAAAACTCTCATGAAGTAGGCTAAAAACTATGGAGAAATCTAAAATTATTCAGAGCTCATTTGGTGCGCTTTGTTCACTGTGACTCTCAGATTGGTGGAATTTTCTGTACAGTGCCATGGGTAATGCAGTTTTTCACCAAAAATTCTGCTATTCAACGAGATTATTTTAAAAATATGTTGAATTGACACAAACAGATGGCTTTAACAAAAGCATATACAATTGATAAACAACCTCGGAGCTCACAACTGGTCTATCTTTTAAGGTTTATCAATTATTGTTAAAAATCTTCTCCTTTGGAGAAAATGAATGGCATTTTTATTTCCGGAACCCGACTGTTACACTCTACTGAGAAGGTTCTGATTTAAACAGCTCTGATTGGTCACTGCGTTCACACAAATATTTCTGTAATTGGCAACAATACTCATCACTGCAAAAACACAATGTAAACAGAAATCTTTGACGCTCTTCACAGAGTGCTCACACAAATACAGTAAAGACTAAAAGCTGCTGCCTATTAACGGGTACTGGATCGATCCGCTACTCTGCATTACTGGTATTGCGGAAAGGCTGGTATTATTACGTTTTTAAAATTTAAGTATTGACTTGAAGTACAGGTACTTTTGACAAAACTACTGGAGAGTATATAAAAATAATTTAAAGTTGAATTTGTATTTGTATTTGAATTTGTATGTTACAGATAAATACTCTGTCATTTTAAATTAAGTTTAAACTATTTTGTTTTACATGTGGGGATGGAATTTACCATGACAGAAATATCTTCAAAATGCTTTATTAAATCGAATATGGAGAGGCCACTACTTAGAGCTTTGAAGTTCTGTATGGTTGTATTAATTTGTGTTAATACGTGAAGTTCTGATTAACGTTTATGTGCCTCTGGGAATCATTGATTAACTTTTTAAAGTCCCAAACCCATACTTTTCACTAACAGCTATTCTATATTTGGAGAAAAAAAATAGAATAGATATATATAATCAAGCTGTATACTGTGAGTCAATGTTGATATATCGAAATTGTGACGTGTGGCCAAGTATGGTGACCCATACTCTGAATTTGTGCTCTGCATTTAACCCATCCAAGTGCGCACACACACAGTAGTGAGTAGCAAACACACACACCCACACCGGGGAGCAGTTAGGGGTTTGGTGCCTTGCTCAAGGGTCTTGTGGATAAGAGAGCGCAATAAGCATATTGAAATGTCTGCAATTTATGAATCAGCATGCATCAACAGATGCAAAGTAACACAAACAGTCAGAAATACTGAATTCAAACGTACACTGCTTGTTCTTTAATGACTGAGGGATCTTCTTTCTTCTTCTTTTGTGTTTTTGCCCTGTCCTGTTCTTTTCTGGAAAAAAAGAATGGAAAAAGTTATGAGCAAGGTTATAAGATGCTAGTTTTTTTAACGCTGTTTCATGTAAGAGACACTGCAAAAGATGCAAGACGTGAGCACAAAGTTCAAACACACCCCTCAAATTTAAATTTTTGTATATCGTCAGCCCTATTGCAAGTGTGAAATGTACTGAAAGATTATGTGTACTTCAGTTCAGATGCATTTACATTGTGACTGTGCCTCAGATTCAATCAACAGAAACTGTTTGTAAAGGTGTGAACCAAATGGTCCACACAATTAGAATAACAAAGCAACACCATTCTTCAGGAACTTTTTGTAGACTGCAGGATCTCTAGCGGGAGGTATTTTATGTATTAGAGAAATCTAGAACATTGGCGAGCCACCCAAACCACTGCTCAGGCAAATAAAGCAATATCTAACAGAATGCATTTGGAACATCTCAGAATCATTTCTCGATTCGCAATGCTTCGATTTGTTGTCTCAGCCATAGAAAGTACACCACTGGTCATAAGTTTTTTTTTTTTTTTTTAAATAAGTCTCTTATGCTAACCAAGGCCTGTATTTTTATTTTTTTTAAAGAGCACAGTAAAAAACAGTAATATTGTAAAATATTATTACAATTGAATATATATGTTTTCTATTTGAAAACATTTTACAATGTAATTTATTCCCTTGATGGGAAGGCTGAATTTTTATCTGCCATTACTCCAGACTTTAGTGTCACGTGCTCCTTCAGAGGCCATTCTAATATGCCGATTTTGTGCCAAGGTATTATCAGTTATTAATAGTGGTTCTAATTATCAATATTTAAAAAGATTTGGCTGCTTAATATTTTTGTGGAAATGTGATGCATTTTCTTCAGGATTCCTTGATGAATAGAAAGTTCAATGAACAGTAGGGCTGTCACTAGTGGGGTGAAAGTTGGTGGTGATTAAATGGGCCCACGGCTATGGGGAGGCCCCTGGAGACTGGCCGAGACCAGCTTGAAATACGCTCAGGACAGTTGATGGGCCAATGCTGCGTGGTGTCACGAAAGCTTATCATTTACACATGTTTTTAAGCCTTGCCAATTGAAACATTCAAGAGATTTTAACGCATTCAAACACAAATAGAAGCAAAAGAACTCAACTGAGTACTCGCGCACTGTGTTCGAATTGAGCTCTCCTTTGCATCTTCTTGCAATTGAACGGACAAATACACGTCATCAATTTAAACATTCAAGCACAAAAAGACACGAAAGAGCTTAATTCAGCACCCGCGTGCAGTGTTCTGTGCGCACAGTGCACACACACTCTGCTTTTCCACCGGGGTTGGTGTTGGAGCTCAATTGGCATATTTAATCATCATGGGTTCAGGTAAATTAACAACAGTAAACACAACAATTAAATATGTCAGTTCGGCAGCGGTCGGCAGAACAGATCAACGCTCTCCTGAAAAAGTTTCTTGAACACCAAATCGACACTTAAGACTGGAAAATTAATTTTCTCCATCACAGGAATAAATTGCATTTTAAAATATATTAAACTGCGACAATATTTCACAATAAATGGAGCTTTGGTGTGTGTGTAAAAGATTTTACAAATATATATAAATTAATTAATTATAACAGGTGTTGTGCCGAAATCGGTGACCCGATTTCGGTGAAATGATCAGCGTCAGGAGCTGAGCAGTGCTGTAAAAGATGTTTCATGTTTTAAGATTAGAGAAAACGTCCATTGGACAAGCTAGATCTTGTCACGAGCATCTAAATGCTTATTATATAGGAAAGAAATTATATGCTGCTGCTGTCTGCTATGTTAACCTACTACTAAGAATGGTTTCCTTAAGAGATGTATGCGCTTATAACATATTCTGATTAGCTGATAAATGTAGGTCTTTATTCTTATTACTGTTTACTGTAATTACCCAATAATGTTGGAGATCCCACAGTTTGCTCCTTACAAATGCATATGATGCAGTTGGCCAGGGTCACTGAATCTGACAAATAAAAAAACCATAGCTATCGAAATGTTACTACACTTTATTTCATAATAACTGACTATAAATGTTTAATAAAGTGACTCATGTGATGTGTGAGCTAATTTTTTGTGTGTTTTATATAAATAAAGCATAATGATCAGATATTGATATATTTGTAGATGGGCTACAATAGGGTCTGGCAGGTTAAATTTTAAGCTATTGAAATGTGTTACTCCTCTTTATTTCATATAATGCTTAATAAAGTAACTCGTGATGTTTCAGCTCCTCTTCTATTTTTTTCTCTTTTACACAAAAGTTGTTTGACATGTACCTACCATTAATTGGTTTAATAATTTCCAAAAAGCAATAAGAGCTATACATTAAGCTTGTTTTTATATGAGCTTTTTGTTATACATATAAGAATCTGCACTTAATGAATTTTTTTTTTAAATATGTTAAGGTATTATGTGGCATCAAGAGAAAAAGCAGAATTGAAATTAAAACATTTATATGCCTGTTTTGTGGCTTACAGATTTTCCCCCCTGATTTTCTTGTGCAGATTCAATGTAAAAAAAATGCAGATTGAGAAGGATATCCTTTGCCCAACACGCATTTATCTTGTTACCGTTCACCCCCTCCACCCAGATATATATAAAAAAAAAAATTTAAAAAAAAAGTGTAATGCTGAAAAAGTAGACCTTTCAAATTGTATGTAGTTTATCGAGATTAAATTAGCATGAATGATTGTGTTGTAAACTTGTGTTGAAAAAAATAAGAAATACTTCAAGTCATGTATAAGGGACAGTGAACATTTACCATGTAGGCTATATAATTATATTATAGCCTACATGTATTCCTGTATTTGTTTTGTAAAAGGTTGATCTGTGAGCAGATATGAAACCACTATAAGTTATAGTTACATAAAAGTCTCATTTAGGCTATTTATTCATGCACTTTTTATCCTACCTTTTTCAGATTATATAAAAACATTTGAACCATACCTCAATCATAACTCATCTCTAATTTGACTTGTGAAATTAAAATGAAAACTTGTCTATTATAGGAATAATCTTAGAAGGCAGTAAAACCTCATGAGAGAATCTCAGTAAAATATAATTTTAACCATTATACAAATTCTTAGAAATATGTAAACATAAGTGTCAAATAAAAAATGGTATGATCAATAAGTCATGCACGCTTAAAAAAGGATGTTAATTTTTTATATTTTTTGTGTTATGACTATTTTAACACGTTTTGTGTTAAACGTGTTCAAACAAAACAAAAAAAATGCAAGTGTCCAACACAATATGCAATTTATTAGCCAATCACATTGCTGCTTGCGTCACTTGAGCCATTACTCTGCTCAAGAGCAAGTTTCCTCACTTCAATAAACTATGAGTTTGCTGTGTTTTTATTGCATACAACATTTGATCAAAAATGACACATACTTGACACAAATTGTGTAACTATAACACATTAGTGTGTGAAAATTTAAAAGTAAAATGTGTTGTCCTTATCTAGACAGAGGTGTGTTAAGAAACATCACAACACTCATGTTTTTAAGTCAGTTTAATGTAATTAAAGTTGAAATGACTTGTACAACTAAGTTGATTGTAGGCTACTTCAAATTGTAAGGATTTGAATAAAAAAAAATTTTTGAATACAGTGGATAAATTTCAGCAGTGTTAAATGTGCAACAAGGAACAAACCATCTGAATAATAGCCTTAAAAAAATGACAGACATTTTTTTCGGTAATAGTAATGTCTAATAATTGATGACTGTTACTCAAAAGACAACAAGAATAAACCTAGAGGAAAAAGGATAAATCTTTACATCACTTGAATGAGTTTGAAGAACACAGACTTATAGACTTATAGTAAAAAGGGGTAACATTTTGGTAGCTATAATTTTGACCTGTCAGACCATACTGTATCTATAAATATGTCATCTGATAAATATGCTTTACATCACATGAGTCACTTTATTAAACATTTATTGTCAGTTATTATGAAATAAAGTGTAGTAACATTTTGATAGCTATGTTTTTTTTATTTGTCAGATTCAGAGACCCTGGCCAACTGCATCATATGCATTTGTAAGGAGCAAACTGTGGGATCTCCAACATTATTGGGTAATTACAGTAAACAGTAATAAGAATAAAGACCTACATTTATCAGATAATCGGAATATGTTATACATAATAAGCGCTAAACATCTCATATGGAAACCATTCTTAGTAGTAGGCTAACATAGCAGACAGCAGCAGCATTAATGTTTCATTTCTTTCCTATATATAAGCATTTAGATGCTCGTGACAAGATCTAGCTTGTCCAATGGACGTTTTCTCTAATCTTAAAACATGAAACATCTTTTACAGCACCTGACGCTGATCATTTCGCTTCAGCGTCTAATCTAACGTCTAATCAAACTCAAACGATAAAAAGGCACACATTTTCCATCTAAATCACAGAAAATGAGAAAACCAAAGATGCCTAGCAGTACACAATTCACATGAATTAAGTTAGCTGCTACTTGCAATTGTTTAATTTAATAATGATAATTCAATATTTGAATAATTGTTCATTTATGATACACCTTGTTAGTAGCTTGTACCTGCGATTGTTGATCAGTTAGTACACTGTAAGAAAAATATCTAGAAAAATGGAAAAGGTACGAAGTTATTTTCCAGGACATTATCCATTATCCATTGTAACCCGAAAACACAAAATGCCATGCGTAATTTAAGATGCAGGTAAAAAAAAACTGTGAAAAATCAATATGGAAAATTCCTTCATATTAACATAAATTGTGCCCTATTTTTATACTAACTGCTAATACACTGCTTAAAACTATAATTGTTCAGAATGTGTAGTTTTACTAGTTTACTAGACAATAAAAAAAAACTTAAAATTGTAATTGTTCAAAAATGTGTTCAATAATTCAATGTTGTATTTAAAAATAGTTATTTATATTTTAATATTATATTACGTTATATTATTTTATTAACACATAAAATATTTGTTTCCTGAGATTTGATGTAATTTTGCGTCATAATTACGTAATAATGTCATCGTGCAATGACATCACAATTTAATTTAGCAACAAATCGACCTTCATTTAGCAACTTCCCCTGAAAATTAGTTGGCAACACTGCAGCGACCCCTGGTCAGTTTTCGCTAGGTCACTGATTTCGGCACAACACCGGTAACTTAAGTGTAATTTGTAACGATTTCCTATTTCATTCGATTCTCTCATTTGTGACACGCTATCAATATGATCAACTTTGCGAGAAGCATTTTAATCCATATGTTGCTTACAGGTTAATAATAATAATAATGATGTTGATGCTGATACTCACATCCTCTGATCCTTTAAACTGATCATTCTTTTCATGGCAGCAAATTTTTTCTGTTTCTTCTGTTTTCCCTAATTCACACAAAGACAAGTTGTCATTAAACCAAAGAAGAAATAAAGATATTGTGTACATTGTTAAACATTATTGAGGTAAACACTTTATTTTACCATGACGGCTGAATGAGCTCGAGATTAGCACTCTAGTCCTCGTGTGGTACACTTTGCGACAAAGAGTTCTTTGACGTCAACATTATGCGACACAGTCCACATTTTACTTACGCCGCGTCATTTCCTGCGTCTTCTATGCTAGCGCTAGATCCTGCGGTTTTTCCGGTTCTCAATAGACATCCTTCAAGGTAAATATCTAGAAGACAATACTGCAGCCGTTGTCTAAATATGAATAGTAAAGTGTCTTACAGTACTTTTTAGGTTTATTAATTACTTTTAACTGCATTGTGGGTATTTCGGTAATGAGTGTTGTTTTTCTTTGACATTGTATGATTATTCTACGTCGCATACGTTCTGTTTATGCCACTGTGATTCAGAGCTAAAGATATGTAGGTTTGGATTGTTATTTAGGTAGGCAATATATGCTAACAATTTTCGGGGACTTTAGTTTTGTGTATTTTGCTTCTAGTATGCGCTGATGTAATAGATTAAAATTAAAGTCTGTACTGATAACAGGACTTTAATTTTCAACGACCAATATGACATTTTAGCAGAGCTGCAGTAATTATTATTTAGCAGAAGTCTGTCACTCAGTGAAACTAAGTTTAAACTAAGTGTACATAGGCCTGTCACGATAACAACTTTTTGTTGTGCGATATATTGCACCAGAAATAATTGCGATAAGCGATATTATTGTCATTTTAAAGACCATTGTATGCCACTGAATATATAATCATAATGTAACAGCATAATAATGCAAGAAGGCCTACACACTTCCAAATGACAACAAACTTTAAATGTTTAAGAATATTTAGATCATGGAAATTAAGTATCAAAATATTAGATACCTTAAAAAACCTGAATAAATAGTAAATAAACTATTTCTAACAAAAAGTGCAAAGTAACAAGCAGAAAAAAAAGAAAACTGCACAAAGAACTTGTATGAAGATTTTTCCATCTACAGATTTTTCCCAGACCTTATTTTCTCTGTAAATTAAGGGTGCACTGTATTGCTGAAAAACACAATCACTACTTATCAGTCAGATGTCTGCATGCACAAAGGCACAGATCCCTAAACAAGACCATATCTGCAGATGAAATTTTTTGTAGAAGCATTTTTTAAATTTGAACTAGCACCTCATTTTGCTAAAATGCTTTATTTTTTGACATAAGTCTGTTCTCTAGTCTACAATGACAAAGCAAAAACCAAGCCATGAGGCAAAGTATATTTGTGGTAACCTTAAAAATTAAAAAAGAAAATCTGAAAATGCATACCAGAGCAAAAACCAAGCCATGAGGTCTAAGGAACAGACACAGGATTGTGTCACAGATCTTGAGAAGGCTACAACATTTTCTACTGCATTGGAAGCTTCCCAAGAGCACAGTGCCTTTATAGCTCTGACATGGAAGAAGTTTGGAATAAGCAGAATTGTTCATAGGGCAGGCCATTTCGGCCAAACAGAACAATCAAGGGAGACGTGACCAAGAACCTGATGTTCACTGGTTGAGTTCCCGAGATCATGTGTCTGTGACTCTGTAGATGAAGAAACTTGCAAAAGGACAACCATCACTGCAACACTCCACCAATCTGAGTTTTAACTTGGAATTTGCAAAAAAAAAAAAAAAAGAATTTGAAAAAAAAAAAAAAAAAAAAACTCAGGCTGTGAGAATAATAATTCATGGAATTGAGGCATCTGTCTGGAGGAAACCAGGAACTGCTCATCGTCTGTGTAATATTATCTCAATGTTGAAGGTAGCATCATGTTGTATTTCAGAGGCAGGAACTGGGGGACCGGTCACAGTAGAAGGAAAGCTGAATGTAGCAAAAAACAGATATTCTTGAAGGGATAGTTCACCTAAGCATGAAAATGAAGTCAACATTTATACACTCTTGTGTTGTTACAAAACTATGTTTTCTTTTTATGTGGAACATGAAAGAAGATATTTTGAGAAATATCTTTTTTTTTTCAATATGATGGAAGTCATTGATCACCAATATTGTTTGGTTCCCAACATTCATCAAAATATTGAGGTGTGCAAATCATACCCTTGACCTGAGGCTTTAATTGCTGCTGAATGTGCTTCAATTAAGCATTAAAGGGGTAGTTTTACCCAAAAATGAGAATTCTGTCCTTTACTCACCCTTAAGTTATTCCAATCCTTTATCAGTTTCTTTCTTCTGTTGAACACAAAATAAGTTATTTTGAATAATGTTGGAAGTGAATGTTGTTGCTGTCTACGCTAGACGCAACAAAGCAACATTTTCAGGCCATTTGACCTTTCTGTCAGCATGCCATTAATAGAACAAGGCATCAGTTTAGTGATGGAGATTTGTCGCTTACATTGCACCACATCAGTTTTATTGTCTTTAATCTCGTTGCATCATGTCGTACCACTCACGCCCAGTGTAGACACAATGCAAGGCTGTGACAATGAAATTTGAATACTTTCTGAATGCACTGCAAATATTTGTACTTAAACAATCAAACAATGCTTCACAAATCCTAAATTATATGTATGCTGTCCTTTTCCCCAGTAGGATAAGACATGGGAGAAGTACTCGGAACCAGATAGGACAGCAGAAAGCAAGGCAGACCCTGAGCTCACAGAGGTCTGAGTGGAGCCTAAACATGGTCTAATGGACCGTCTCTTTTTGCTGACCTTTGTCCTCTGTTCAATCTCGTGGATTTTCTTCTGGGAGGTACGCTGGAAGAAAGGCAAGGAAAGTCAGATTGAAGAATGGCTCCAGAGACACAGCCTATCCAAATACAAGTATTTGTTTGAAGGTTAGTTTAACACTTGAAAAGCAAACACTTTTAGTTTTATAGATTTGCCTCACCTGGATTGTTTAGAATATTAGAAGTATGTTTAGAGTATTAGAATTTCCTCATTATAAAATGTGAAGCATAGTCATAGATCAAGTAGTATCCACTTCTAACCATATTTAGCAGAATCACTAATAGTACCTCAGACTATTAGAGCTCAAACATTTAAGGGCTTTCACACTTGAAATAGTTAACCCTGGGTCATTCTAAACCCAGGGAAATGGAATCCTGGGTTATCTTATTATGTTTCACAGTCATTGCTCATACCTAACCCGGGGTTAACAATTCATCCTGTTTATTCATAATCATACATGTCACACTGTTTAACCAGGGTCCTGGGCCCTGTTCACAGACAACTTGGCACCCAGTATGTTTATTGGGTGAGGGGTCTGTGAACGTTTGTTAATCTAATTAATAATTGATTTGTTAAATCAAATGAAAAATGGTGTGTCTGATTGGTCCAGACGCTACACTGTACATTGCTAAACCCTAGGTTTTCTTATTTGCATGGTTGCAGTGTCACAGTCATGATTGGATAAACACAAAAACATTTGGTTTTCGACCAAAATGGGTAAAATTCTACAGTTTGGAAATGGAGCAGCATTGAGATCCCCATGTCTATGGGATTGAACTATATAGGGCCTTAAAATGAATATTCCAAAATAAAAGTTTGGGTCACACTTTACTTTTTTCAGGTCCAATTTTAATTATTAATGTCACAAAGTGATCCACATTTGTTTTTTGACCACTGAAAAGGTGTGCAATTTAAAGGGATAGTTCACCCAAAAATGAAAATTACCCCATAATTTACTCACCCTAGGGCTGCTTGATTATATCAAAAATCATAATCACCATTATTTTGGTCAATATTGTAATCACGATTATTTAACACAATTATGAGGGGGCCATATGACCAAAACTTTATATGAGTGATTTATTTAAAGATAGTGATACATATCAAATATATATTTCCTGTAAATAACGTTGATATGGCATCTACATTGAAGAGACCGGCGGAATTTCAAACAAACAAACAAAAAGTCCTCAAAATGATTGAAAATAATTAAACTGTCAGTAATAAAAAAGCAAAAGACAAATACAATAGAATAAAAAGATACAAATGAAACAAACTGTGCTTTATTGTTTTTATGCAAGTCTCAAGCAGTTTACAGCCTACTAATGAATAATCAAATGTAAAATTAAACCGCATAGTCTTCACTGTAAGAATTAAACTTTTTTGTTTCTTATTAAAGCTACAAAAGTCCTTCACTCGAGCCGTGTATAATTTAGAATTTGTCTTTTGTTGTTTGATTAATATTAAGCACACAGTTGCAGCAGGAAAATAGGCTGCTGTCACTTTAAGAGCTGCACGGATCCAATTTACCGTTACACGCGTATTTACATTCTCAACTCTTTGTTTATTTATTACATGACTGATGAAGGTATACATGAATAACCACTAAGCGCCGCATTTTGACACATTTTTGCGTGTATTTGACCGTTTAGGCGCGCACCTTGAGCTAAAAGATGACTTTACATGTCCGTGTTCAGTTCCGTCTGTGAGCGCATATATCTTCCTGAGGAGCAGCGCAAGTTCTCTTTCACGCTTTTAAAAACATGAATAAATATACTTCTATAAATCAAGCACGTCTCATTTTGCAAAAGTCACGTTACATGATTTTATTGATTTGCACGTGAAATTGGGCTTTTATAGAGGAACGAAAGCGCAGCGCTGGAAAAGGGGGCAGAATGGGGGGCAATAATCATTTTGTCTCGATTATTGTATTTTCATAATCGTTGGAGGCCAAAATCTAAATCGAAACTGTTTTCCGATTAATTGCACAGCCCTAACTCACCCTCAAGCCATCCTAGGTGTTTATTGGCGCTTTTCCACTACATGGTACGGCTCGGTACGGTTCACTTTTGGGGGTTTTTCCACTGGGTACAGTACCTGGTACCTGGTACTTTTTTTTAGTACCACCTCGGTTGAGGTTCCAAGTGAACCGTACCGTTACCAAAACGTGACGTGTAAACGCTGCTGATCACGGATTGGCCGGAGAGAATGGTCACTACCTGCGTCACTGAACTTGCGCCACAAACACAACAGAACTGCTAGATTTAAATCAGCACAGCCAGCGAAGGATCGAACACAACTGTTTTGAACGAGCACACCTTTTTTGTAACAACCAAAAAGTTTCGTTGTCTGTTGAGGAAGTACAGACGTTCCTCTCGTTGATAGCAGAGGAGCGGATCCAGCGAGAGCTTGATGGGGCGA